TTGTTTTTTGAGAATGATGAGTATGTATATTTGTAAAGTGGATTAAACACACACACACACACACACACACACACACACACACACACCCCAACAAAGGCCAACAGAAAATAAAGGCAGAGGAACATGAACAACTTATGAATCCGATTTTAGTGATAAAGCCTTTTTTCCTACTCCTTGAGCGTTTTACCTTTACACTGTGATTAGCAAAAATCAGATCCCTTTTAACATTGCTTACAAGATTGACTCTGGGCAAAAATGGAATACTAAAGCATTTCACAAGTCAAAATAGCTTTCTAAAAACAGTTTATTGGAAATGGCTTAAATTGTTAATAATTTTAAGAACTAACATTTCTGGCATGACATCCAGCTCACAAACAATCCTAGATTGAATGTAATATCAAGTACTCTTTTACACACACACACACACACACACATACACACACATACACACACAATTGTATTTCATAATAATGTTATCCATGTTATAAGAATTGCAGAGTTATCAAATAGTGTGTCTATGTTATCTGAATCTTTGGCTTACTTATATAATTTTACTCAAATATGGGAACACTGTGGGTGGTTTATTATATAACAAAAATAGGAGCAGTTTGGCATTGGTGGTATATTTATAGCAAATGGAACACTTGAAATATATGAACTTATTACTTCAAAATTATGAACAAGCTGCTTATATATGAACACAATTGAAATGGTCAGTTGGTTAGAGCTTTTGATATTTATTTTTTCCAAAATCCATGGGTATAGCTATGTGTATTTACTTGGATTAAAAATAAAATGATTTTTTAAAACAGTGGCATAGGCAGAGCATTGCCTTAGAACAAGGGCTGCAAAGACTTCTCACTCTCCTGGTCCTCCGCTAAGTCCCTTACTGTAACAGCCTTCTTCCTTTCCCTTTGCTCTTCTCTGTGTCTCCCATTTATTTATTTTTTGGCTCTGGTATCTATGATAATTGCTAGTTGGATAATTCAAGAAGGGTGTCGAAGGAAGATGTCTGCTTTTAATACTCTCTCCTTCCTAATAGCAGAAGATCCAGACACATTCGCCTCTATTTCAGAGAATTTACCACATCAAATATAGGAAGGAAGGACAGTTAGGTAACAATCCTTAGCTATTACTTTGGCTCCATTCTTCCAACAAAGAAAATCTCTTTGTAGCATTTAAAACAATTAAATAGATAACTGTGCAGACTTGACACTTTGTACTCCACTGTTAGACTTTTCAATAGATTAAATTGGGTATAATTTGTGCTGTTCTGAATTTGCTCTTCCTCAAGTGCATGCAAAATGAAATCGATTACCATAATTCTTTTTTAAAAAAAGTTTTCCGAACTAGGTACTACTCTTTTAAAAGCCATTTTGCAGGCAAATCCAACCTGAAAAGGAACAATAATTACCTGCCAAATATTTTTAATTAAATTTTCGTGAAACCTTGAATATTTTATATATTTGCTTTTAAATTTGTGCTGTTTCTGTACCATAAAGTGAAGCAGATATAAAAGATGATCTTAATTATTTAATAAAATATTTGCTTCAATATTTAAAGATCTCAGTGAATTCTCCAAACTACATTGAGTCTGCAGACATCTTCAAACAGTTGGAAACACTCTGCTAGTCGATTCTGTAATGAGTTATTGTAGGGGCAGAGACAGGTTACAAGATAATTTTTTCCTATGACATTCAATATCCACTTGACAGATTTGGAATAATAAGTTAGGTACTCTAGAGATTTACTAATTCCTGTAGAGTATTAAGTTGCATTTTGAAAATATGCTACTTGTTGAAAAATAGGGCCTGTTAACAGATGCATGGGTCCAGCAGTTCTTTAGTTCCTTTTTTTTTCTGATGTGGATTATGGGGAGAAGAGGGAATTAGTAAATGAATCACTTACTCAACTTAAATAAATATAATTGTGCTTTAAAAATCAATAATGCAATTTTATTTCAATATATTTTCTGTTTATTCAATAACTACTCATCTGCTTACTATATGCGAAAAACTTTAATAAAAATATTGAGGATTCAGTGAGAAATAAGTATAAATGTATATCCACCTAATCATGAAAGTATACAGGAAAATAAGCATATAACCAATTAAAGTGCTTTGGAGGTTAGTGGATAGAAGAGAATCTTTTTTAGTTTGGCAATTTATCAAAGGTGATATCAGAGCAGTTGTGGAATTTATTCATAATGAAGGCAGAGAATTAATTTCAGGGACAGGCTGAAGTAAATAAGAGGATTGAAAGCTAGGTTGGTTAAGTTTTTTTAAACTTTAACTTTTGTCAGACTTTCTGACCTTCCCTTCCCATTGCAAATTGAATGAAGGGGATGCAATATCAAGAGTCATTCATTCAGAGGGAGCGCTCTGCGGAGCGGCCATGCTCCGTGCTTGATCCTTATTCTGGGACATGCTGGGGATATTCCAGGGATGCAGCTTGTTGATACTAGTAAACTATTTTTCGCAACCACCCATACCTGGAGGGAAAGCAGTGTCCTTATCTCCAAAGATCGGGGATAGATAAAAGATCTGGCATGAACAGCCTTTGTTAAGTTTCCCCCAGTTTACTATGCACAGCTCATACTCTTTGGCCTGTCATATCTTCCCATTCTTTATCAAATCTAGCATGAGGACTCTCAGGTTTAACCATCTCTTTGTGTTTTTATTTCCTTGGGAAGGCTCCCATGTCATGTAAAACTCCTTCTGGAGTGCTAGGTTGGTTTCTTATTACATGAAAAGGCTATATATCCTCTCTAACTTTATCCAAAATTTTATAGTATATTCTGGAGACACTCAATGAAATAGTGCTCAGTGATTATAAATATGTGCTTGACAATTTACCTAGAAATAGAAAGACTGATAATTTGCACATATGTGTATTTTCCCTTGGGTAATATTTTACTTTTATGATGAATGGAATCTTCGCATATTTCCTAGTCATTATATTCTTCTAACTTCAGGTTTGGGAGTCAGAGTGCTTATGTCTTTTAGGAAAACCAGGCAACATGTCATATCTAGAAAAAAATGATCCTTGCTCCTATAAAGTGTTCTTGATAGCTTGTCAGTGGGGCAGAGAAGACTGGAAGAGTCCTGAATTGCTTTTCAGCCAAAACAGGTTCACCTCAATGAACAATGGCAGTGACAGTACACTCAGGTGTCAAGTTAGAATGAAAGTTTTAGACCATTTAGCATAAGTCAGAATTCAGGCATGATTTAAGTTGATGTCTTTACATATATACTATTTGTCTCTCGGTTTCCCAGCTAAAGGGATGTATAAGATGTATAACAGTTTTTATTATTTGTCAATGTTGGGAATTATATTTGAGAAGAGATGATTCATTTTCTGTGGGTTTTAGGACTTGTTCAGTAACTGCTTGGAGAAACGAGGTTGTCTGATCTGAATTAGAAAATGGTGTCAATATTCTTTGCTCCTACCAGTTTCCTACTGCAACCTATTGTTTTAAATGTTAAAATGGGAACAAATATATTTATCTAATAGTAGTAATAAGAATATTAGTTAGTATTTATAATATGTTTCAAATATATGCACCAGCTCATACGCAGCACAAAGTCTAATAGAATAATGTGGTTATGCATCATTCATTTTAATGAATCTATAAATTTCTCTCCACTTTGTACTCTCCTCCCATTTATTTGTTTTTTTGTTTCTTGACATTGATTTATCTTCTTTGTATCAATTTCATACAGCGTGGTTCAATAAATATTCCTTCTTGTTTTCATTTGTGTGGAAGCATCCCTAGCATTTCTGTATTTCATCTGCTAACTGATGTGTTGCACATTTATCAAGCCTCTGTGTTTTCCTCGAAGGCAGTGGGCGGCAAACTCATTAGTCAACGGAGCCAAATATCAACAGTACAGCGATTGAAATTTCTTTTGAGAGCCAAATTTTTTAAACTTAAACAATATAGGTAGGTACATTGTTATTAACTTAATTAGGGTACTTCTAAGGCTTAGGAAGAGCCACACTCAAGGGGCCAAAGAGCCGCATGTGGCTCTCGAACCACAGTTTGCCGACCACAGCTCTGAGGCATTTCATTCTTTTTATGACTGACTTTCAAGTTTTGCTTCTTCCCCTTTAGTTTCTCAGCTCATTATTATTTTATGTGTTCTCCTACACCTTATTTAAATCCCTTCTTCATGTTATACTTCTTTCCATGTTTAATTTCTTATTCTGTCACACTTAAGTTTATTTGAAAAAAAATGGCTGCCTTATAGTAAGTAGTGTTGAAACTCTTATCTATCCGAAGAAGATTAATATGGTTAAATACCCATGATCCCAGCACTTATGAAATACAAAGTTCACTTTCCTTTATAAAATAACACGTTATAAAACATGTATTGTTAATAAAATTTAAAGAAGTGGGGTATATAAGATACTTATAATGGCATAGGACTATTTATCATATGACCTCAGGCAAAGAAAAGATACATAAAGTTTACATAGCATGCTTTCAACCATGTGAGGTAATTTAAAAAGAATAAATGGGAATACATGAAATGTTAGGAGTGGTTATCACTGGGTAATTAAATTAGGAGACATTTAAAATATTTCTCATTTTCTTGCATTTTAAAAAATGTTCTACACTTAGCACACCCTTACTATTATATCCAGAAAACTTGTGAGCTAAAGAATAAGGCTTAGTTTAGAATATTCTATTCACTAATTTTAAATGGAATTTTCATAAAAATTAAGCAAATTTATCCACATATTGGACATGACAATCATGTCATTTTTCTTTCTTTTATCTGGGGGTATTTCAGCCTTCTAAGAAGCTTTACAGTAAAGTTTTATTGGCTTTATAATTTGTAGATGGGATGGGAGGGTGGACATAATGAGAGCTGGGAGGGAGAGGAAAGATTTAAAGGCAATTTAATGAATTATCTGCATCATGACTGTAAAGTGGGTGTCTGCGGCCTTCATTTGCCAGAGACATGATAGAATACTTTCTTCTCTGATTTCCGCAGGATCAAGTCATGGGTGGATAAGATGCAAGAAGACCTTGTCACACTGGCAAAAACAGCAAGTGGAGTCAGTCAGCTGGTTGATGTGAGTAGAACCCAAATAAACTCAATCCCTTCTTTAATTTGAATGCAGTCCTATCTTCTAGGAAGCTGTTCTTCTATATCATAAAGAAGTTTTTTGTGTGTGGATCTGGTGGTGAAATTCTGGAAGAGACCCTTGGTATTGCTTGGTATTGTGAAAAAGAAACATCATACATACCAGTTGATAATGCTTTCTTACCACACACACTTTACAGTTTAAAAACAGCCCTCACATACACGAATCCATGTGTTACCTAGACTCCCCTAAAGTTTAAATTGGGATGTTACCTTTTTGTTCTCCAGACTATAGTGTATAATCTGTCACATAGTGGTGGCTTTAAGTACTGTGAAGAATTCCTTTGAATGTCCTCAGTGGGAACACTTCTTCATTTTTTAATGGTAGATTTTATTTTTAAAGAGAGTTGAAAAGTGTTCACAGCCATGTCTGGACACTAGAGTGTGTCATTGATATGGGGAGTAAAGATTTTGGTGTAAGAAAAAGAGTCACTGTAAAATATGGTTTTTCTTAGGATTTATGCAATGATTATGAAAGTCACTATTAAATGATTTTTAAAGGTAATAGTATTATATCAATATTTATGTATCATCTTAGAAAGGTTATTTTTCTTGGGTAAGAACATTTATATTGTAGGTTTTGTATTTATTAAACATTAAATGTTATTGCTTGAATGTCTCACTTCTATTTCAATGGCAGTAATGTAACAATTTGAAAGTATTTTCGTCTTGTGATTTTAGTGATGCAATGAGGCCTTTTATTTTCCAAAAATGAGATGAAATGTATTAAAGCAGACTTATCTGTATGATACATGAATACTTATGATGTGGATATTTATGTGTGAATTCTTCTTTCTAGAGAAAATGGAATGTATGGTTGTTTACCATATATATTAATAGAAATTCATAAAGGAACCTTGTTAATTAAGCAGATACTTAAAAAAAATTATTCCAGAAACTGTGTACAAAACAATCATAGGTTTCCATCTAAGAGTATGTTGAGCAAACTTAAATATCTGTGAGATGAAGATATTTGGAAATGAAAAATGTTCCTTGTGAATAACGATGATCAAATTTAGTTTAGTCATCACGTATGTCCCAGGTCCTGTGCAGGCTACAAGGGTTGACAGAGAACAGTTCCTTTCCCCAGAGATCTGACGCTCTGCTAATCTACTATGTGGGCCCGAAGATGCCTAAAAGCTCCTGGTAGCTGGTGCTGGAGATCTGCAATGACTTATTGTGGTGAAATATATAAGAACATGAGCGTGTGCAAGCTAATACGTGAGCCTCTATGAAAGTGATGGAGTTTGTGGGATGAGGAAAAAAAAAGATGCAAATTAACAGGTTCTGGTTAGAAGCTATATGAATCTTTTTATTGACAGATTGAGATTAAAAATAACTGCTCTTGGGAGCGCTCCTTCACTCCTCCCGGGCTTCTGCAGCCTCGGAAACCACTTTCTTGGCTGACCTCATTTTTACTTTTTGTGTAAATATGTGAACCTTCTCTCACTGAAGCTGCTTTTGCAGGGAATCATTATGCAACCAAAAAAGTCTCACCTGATTTCCACTATGCTTTCGCGAAGTGTAGCTGACTGAGAAGAGTGTAAAATTGTTAAATGAATAAATGGCTTTGTCTGAATATGGATAAAAAAATAGAATGGAGAGGATGGAAGAAAATTCCCACACTTTTTCTGTTTATGAGGCACATACATAACTATAGTGACAGAAAAAATACAATTAAATAATTTGTTTTATTATATGTAACAAATGAGGGGAGAGAGATGGAATTGATTATTGGGAAATAATTTTAGTATTAGGTCACATGAAGCGCGTCATTTTGCATAGATAAATGATCCCTATGCCTCTGTGCTTTTGCCTGGAGAGAAGGTTCATGTGCGGGGTTTTGGCTGTGGAAATTTAAAGCAGAGACTGGCTGAAGGATGCTATAGTGGATAGTGGACTTTGAGCTGAGATTGGGTGTATTGGATACAGGGCGAGGACCAAAAGTTGAATAAAGGGAGGGATTTAACAGGTTCCTGGATTGAAATTCAATATTATGGAAATGATGATTCTTCCAAAAGTATTTAATGTAATTATTTTTACTGGTTTTGCAGGATAGAACTACCATTTTACCTGAATACTCATATGTAATTGTAATGAGGCAACTTAGCTAAAATAAGTCATCTTTACAATTTAATGAAAGTTAAAGTTATTTGCCTAATTTCTGTTAAAGATACAGCATGAATAAGCTTAAGTAGTGCCATGTCTTAATGAATTATTCCACTATCTAATCATTTATTAGAAGACAACATGTCCATTAATTGCATATGCTCAGACACAAAGTACATGAAATAATTGAGGGAAGAAAAGAAATAAAATTAGGGAAAAGAGACAGTAATATGTTATAATTTTGCTTAATGAATTTAATATATTAGAACCTTTCAAATACAACTGAAGGACTTCATTTGGTTTTCATTAGTTCAAGAACTGCACTAAGCCGTTTGCATATGGTATCTTATTAATTCTCAGGACAACCTTGTAAAGTGAACATCATCATCTCTAATATGCATGAAGCATTTGCAATGTTAAATTTTGATTCTAGGCCACACAGCTACTAAATTGAATGTACTAGTGACTCCAAAATTGTAAAAAATATATATTGTTATGTTTTAGAGCAGTGATGGCAAACCTATGACACGCATGTCAGAGGTGACACGTGAACTCATTTTTTGGTTGATTTTTCTTTGTTAAATGGCATTTAAATATATAAAATAAATATCAAAAATATAAGTCTTTGTTTTACTATAGTTGCAAATATAAAAAAATTTCTATATGTGACATGGCACCAGAGTTAAGCTAGGTTATTTCAAAATGCTGACACGCCAAGCTCAAAAGGTTCGCCATCACTGCCTTAGACCAAGCTGTCAAACTCGCGGCCCATGGGCCACATGCCTTGTTTATTTGGCCCGTGTTAGCCTTTGAGTTTGACATGCTTGCTTTAGACTATAAGTTAATATTTTACCTTTTTATATTGCTTCTTGTACACTGAGTGGCCCGATTATTATCACTACCCCATCAGTACAATGAAGTGAATTAGTTATGCAAATAATAATAATAATAAAACCTTGAGAGTATTTGCTTAGGAAGCTTTCAATATTCAGTATTTTTGGAAGTGTCAATGAAGTACTGATGGGTCATAATAATCTGGCCACTCAGTGTAAATTAGAAGAAGCCAAAATTTGGCTAGCAGTTACCCACTCATGAACATTTCTATTTCAATTTATTTTTTAAAAAGAAAGTATAGAAAGATATTGTAAAATGTAAATTTACATGCAGAATGTAAAATCTTTCATCATTGTTGGTATGCACAGACATGGTTTTGTGTGTATATCTATTGAAAGGATTGCTAAAAGTAGTACAGAAAATAGTTTTTCTTGATTTTGTCTTTATAGTCTTCCACCTGAAGAAAATACACTTATTCCAATTGATAGTTTTGTGATCTGCCGAGATGTTTCATCTCATGGAGTTGTTGAGATTGATGGCATATCCATATATAATATTTATTGACCTGTAACCAGAACGCAAGAAAGATCATTCCCCCGTTGTATTAGTCAAGAGTATTGTATTATACTAGAGGCCTGGTGCATGAAAATTCGTGCATTCAGGGGTGGGGGTCCCTCAGTCCGGCCTGCACCCTCTTACAGTCCAGGACCCCTCGGGGGATGTCTGATTGTTGGTAACAGGCCTAAGCCAGCAGTCAGACATCCCTCTTGCAATCCAGGACCCCTCACTCCCTACCACCCTATGTCAATGTTTTGATTCTTCAAAGTTCCACTCTTACCTCCAGCTACAGCTCATAAGCAAAAAATAAAAACAAACAACCCCCACCTTGATCTCTATTGTAGACGTTACTATTGACACACATAGAGGAATACAATTCTTTTCCTAATAAAGCTGGTAACTGATATGTAAGGCATCAGTAAATTTTAAATAAAGTAGTTTTATAAATTATAATTTGAAAAATGAAAATAAACATTTTATGAAAATGCATAAAGAAAATTAAAATAGATCTACTTATTTGGAGATCTGCAAAGAAGTCCATTCTCATTTTTATCACTTATCTAGGAAAAATCAGGGCTATTTGGCCTTCATTGTCCTTTATTCTTATACTAGAGGCCCAGTGCACAAGATTCATGCAATTCAGGGGTGGGGGTCCCTCAGTCTGGCCTGCACCCTCTTACAGTCCTATAGCCCTCACGGGATGTCCTATTGATGGAGCCCTCCCAATATTCTCTCAAAGACATAAATGTGAAATGTGTCTAAATATTGAGCATTCAGTTCTCTTAATTAAGTTAGTATTTACACAAGGATTTTGGGTAAAGAATTTCATTAGTAACCAAAGGGGTTCACAGACCAATGCTTTTTCTTTGACATTGTGGTCACATGATCTTATGTAAATAGAATGTTCATTTTCTAGGTGGTAAAGAGTTTAATATATTTATTTATTGGCAAAATAAGATACTCTAAAGCAGAACATAATTAATCACTGGTGATTCTGAGTAGGGATTTAGCAAGATGCAGAGTCAACAGTAAGGAAGGGAATCTTTTTTTCTCCTCAGGAACGCTGCTAAGTAGCTGGTGATAGTAGATTTCCTTTACCTGCTTGTCAAGTGAGATAGTAATACTCTCCCTCACAGAAGCGTTGTAGGGATAAAAGGGATATAAAATGCAATGTGACAGCAATAATAGATGATATTAAAAAGTTAATGCTTACTTCCCTTTACATGTAGTTTTATATTTATACTAGAGGCCCAGTGCACAAAAATTTGTGAACTCAGCGGGGGTGAGGGGGATCCCTCAGCCCGGCCTGTGCCC